GTCGCCTGTCTGTTTTCACAACTTGAACTTTTCACTTTGCCCCCTCCGAGTTGCTTCGTTCCTTTCAAATTTTGGGTTGGGGGTTTCTGCTCTTTTTTTTCCGAATTTAGCTACGGGCTGGAGTGTACCCTGTGGCTCACATGGAATATCTAATTGGTTGCTAGATAGAAAAAAAAATTGTATAAATGAATGATCGTATTCCAGCCACAAACATATTTCCATTGTACATATTGTAAATATTTTTTTAGTGGAATTTCCATACTTTAATTTGCAGCTCTTATTTATCTGATTTTTCTTTATCTTTCAACACTTTTTTTTTGCCAGTTATTCTTCAGGGTATCCACACATCGATCATGTGCCGAGGTGCACCCTTTTTTTCTTGCTTCTGAATTCAATTTCTAACTCCTTTTGGTTGCTGTTGAGCTGCTTTTCGACAGCTTCAAATCAAACATCGTCGCTTTGGCTGTCATTGCGTGGCACGGCACGGCACGCACATGCCGCTGCCTCGCCCACGGCACAAGTTGCCACATTCTCCAGCCCAGCCCACCCCACCCCACCACAATCCCCTCCATCGATGTGACTCGCATGCTGATAATTGTGGACTGGACTGGGGACTGGGAACTGGGAACTGGGAACTGGTAATTGTCTCGGTTTTTCAAGCCAAAATTGAGTCATTAGATATCGCTCATGGAGGGGCAATTAGAAGCAGGCAAACCAAAGCGGAGGCTGCTCCCATTAAGCGATCAATGGGAACCTCTTTAAGAGATCTCTCTTGAAGGTAATTTTGTGGTTTCAATATACATGTGTGTTTCAGTTGTATGTTTTGTGTATCTTTCTTATAAATGATCTGCACATTTGTGCCCCTTGGGGCGTGGCTGGATGCTGGAAGCTGGAAGCTGCTGCTGCTGCTGCTGCAGATGATGGCAGCGTAGCGCGTGTCTAAGCCGAAAGCCCAGAAGCATTTATCACAACTACATTTACAATTACAGTTACTGCTGCCTGCCCGCTGCCTGCTGCCTGCCTGCTGCCTCTTCTACTTGTGCAACCTACTGGACAGGCGGCCAACATGAGTGATGATGAATGAAGGCCCTGTCCCTGCCCTGTCCCTGCTCTGTCCCCGCCCTGTCCCTGCCTGTCCCTGCCTGTCCCGCCGCCCCCCGCCCCCGCCCCCCCCCGTCCCCCCTGTCCTGCTCTGTCCCTGCCTGTCCCTGCCTGTCCCTGCCCTGTCCCTGTTCCTGCCAGCAGCCATGAATGAGGTGTGAGTGGTTGTCAGGGGATGGAAGGGGGAATGACTCTGGGATTGCCATTCCGTACCCACTCCATTCCCAGAGCTAGAGCAAGAGCTCTCTCTCTCTCTCTTTCTCTCTCTCTGTCACCGGTCTAAATGCCATTTAATGTTAACAAATTCATTTTTGGCGACAAACGGAAACGGAAACAACGCAAAGAGCAAATTCTCACACACATCCTAGGCACAGTGGAACAACACTGGCCCTGGCCCTGGCCCTGGCACTCGCACACGCACACGCTCGCAGGACATGAATGGATCATATTTGGGTTGGGATTTGGGTAGCCTTGCCACATAAAGCAGATGATCCTGGAGGATCCATACACTCCGGAAGTTTCATGAACTCCAAGGGTATGCCCTCGATGACTTTTATTCCTCGCTAAAGTGGCTTGTGGATTGCCATATGGGACAGCGGAAAAATTAGTAGGTTTTCCCTCGTGGTCAGAGCTCTCTCATTCCACAGTGCGAATGGATGGATGGACGGATGGATGGATGCATATGGTCACTGGTCTCTCTGGTCTCCTCACGTACCGTCCATCATTCGGGGCGGTGGCCTCCCTTTGGCCGTGCGGCGGCTGCCAACTGATAAACGAACGTCACACGTCAGGACTTTGGGTCCAGGGTACAGAGTCCGGAGTCCAGCAGGGCCAGCAGGGCCAGCAGGCTCGACACGACTCGACTCTCGTCCTGGGTCGACGCTTTTGTGGATTGATGGCCCTGGACAGATTGAACGTTGCACACACACACACACACACACACACACACACACATACACACGCAGACAACATGGAGGAGGCTGGCTACTGCTCTGGCTGATGGACATTTAATATGCGTTTTAGATTGCAGCTGTGTGTGTGTGAAGTGCAACACAAGAGCGGAGGCAGGAAGCAGGGAGCAGGGAGCTGTCAAGGGGGTGGAGGTGGGGTAGTGGGGCATCCCGTGTTCATGTGCGTGCCGCCTCGTTTTGCAACGCCTGCAAATGTATGCGTTTTGCGTTCGTCATGGCTACAGTTGTTCCTCGTTGCTCGTTGCTCCCCCGCGCTGTGCGTGTGCGTGTGTGTGTGTGTGTGTTGCATTCCTCTCCTTGCAGCCATGCAGCAGCATTGTTTTGCATTAAATGCTATCTACAGTGCCGTGTCCAGTGTCCACTCACCCCCCGCCCATCCTCCCACAGCCACAGCCACAGCCAGAGCCAGAGCATGGGTCCACTGTCCTCTGTCCAATGTCCATTCCGTTCATTGTTCGCTGTCGTGTTTTGGGTCGTAGGTGTGAATGCGCGCACATGTGTCGAACAAAAGGCACTGACTTCCTCCCCTTCGAGTCCGCTCCCCCGCCCCCATGCAACACCCCGCCAGCGAACGTACTCACCTATGCACCGTACCATACCATACCATACCATACCGTACCCCCCGGCCGCCTGTCCTGGTTTACAGACACGCATGTGCATGTCCTTCACATTAATAATGTTTTGTCCCGATATTAGCCACGCATATTAACTTGCCCTCCCATCCCGTGTCTGTGTCTGTGTGAGTGTGTGTGGCACGACTGTGTGTGTGTGTGTGCGTGTCAGAGCGATTAAAGACGCTGCCTACACACCACACAGATGATGTTGCTGGCCCCCGCTACGATACTCGTACAGATGCAGATACTTCCTTCCACCTAATGGTTATCTATGGCCAGAGCTTAGGGCATTAATTCTGCTTCAGCTTTAACCTGCATTTGAACTCAAGGCACTGAAAGATACTCAGATACTTTTCCGGACATTCCTTTGTATATTTGACGCCTTCATTCGCATTCTGGATGTGCATCAAACTTACAGATTGATTTGTAGCTTTAATGGCCCTTGTTTGTATGTGGGTTTAAGATACATTTTACAGCTGGAAATACTGGAGGATATGTACATACGTTTGTATCTCTATGTACTCTAGATTTCCTTGCAGTATTTTTCCAGGGATAATAAATATCAGTGAAGTTCTGGGTCACACACTGGATGATATACCCACCGATTTGCACTGGAATCCACTCGTAATCCACATCCAACCACCCACCCATCATTACAAATGACAAAAACACAAATTTTGTTAATTTTTTTTTATTTTATATATATTTTTTCTCATCAAATGTTTCGTTCATTTCCATTTTTGTTTGTTGCTCTTCTCTGTCGTTTTTTGTTTGTTTGTTTGATTTAGTTTTTTTTTGTTTTTTTTTTTTTGTTAACAATTTGTGTTTATTCATTATTGATTCGCCTTGCCCCCCATCCATCCTTTTCCCAAGAGGATCTACCGAGAGAATCGTATCTTTGCAGAGCTACTCGCACGTGTAAGTATCTTTTCTTTTGCTGTCTTTTGCACACACACACACACACACACACACATACAGACACACACTCTACTACGCGTATTTATCGCTTGATGAATATAGGGATTTTATGTGTGTGTGTGTGTGTGTGTGTGGGTGGGGTGGTGGGGATATTTTTGTTGTTGTTGGGGGCTTCTTGTGTCTTGTGTGGTGGGAGGGGGCCTGTTCTTTGACTTACGCATTATGCTAACACTAAGTACTTTTTACAATAATAATAATCATATAATAATTCCCAATCATAGTAATCATATATCAATTGAAAACGCAAATTGTTAGCTGGGTTCTGGATTCCATTTCTTCTGGTTTCTTTATCGCTTCTTCGCTATCTCTCTTTCTCTTGATTTTTAGCTTGCTATATCTTTATAATTGGAAATTTATATATTTATTCATATATGTATATATATTTAAATATATATATTTTTTGTTTAGTTTTTGTTTTGTTCCTTTTCTAGGTTTTACATTTAGGTTTTTAGCATTTCTTGCCAGAGATTTTCTTTATAATAAATTACGTTTTTCCTTACATTCTAAGACCACAAAAAAAAAAAATAGTTTTAGTTGCGCTATATGTCTGTCTGCCTATCTGTATCTGTATCTGTCTGTTTGTCTGTCTGTCATACTGTCCGTCACACTGTGCGTCCAAGTGTCTAAGTGGTGCCTGTCGTTTATAGATCTGGTTGTATGTATATTATGTATATTCGTGTATATAGACTTAGATCTAGGGTGAACTACACAAGTACATGCCTAGTTACGTTTATGTTGTTAGACAACGATTATAATATATTGTATTTATATTTATATATTCATATAATAATATTCCAAAAAAAAAAAGGTTCGTTTAAAAAAAAATGCAGCAGAAACTAAACAGCTTGTAGTAGTTTACGAATAAAATGTGCTAATTTACAAAAACATCTTTCAATATCCATTATTTTTGCTTTCTTTTCTGTTTTTCTTTTTTTAAACTACATATTTGCATATTTTGTTTTGTTTTTACACAGATACACATAAATAGTTTTTTTGTTTTGTTGTTTTTTTTTTATATTTTGTTTATAAATTACAGACAAGACGTTTAGTGGTTGTATTTTTTTGTTTTGTTTTGTTTTTTATGTAATATTTTTTAGCGTTTTGGGATTTGTTTTTCTTTGTTAAAAAAATTTCTTTTCTATGTGCAGCGCCCATTTATTTGTTTTGTTTTGTTTTTTTTTTTATACATTTAGAGAGATTTTTCTTTGTCAATTTGTATAATTATCTTTAGTTCATTAATTTATTTATTTCTTAGTTGTGTGTTTTTGTTTTTCTTTTGCGTTTTACTTCTTTTAATAATTTACAAATATTTTGGCGCATAAATACACGAAAAAAAAGTACATATTAGAACAATAATAAAAATAATAATAATAAAATATAACAAAAACAAAACCAAAAGCAGCTGAATGGCAGAGGGCGTGGGCTGGGGGAGAGGAGAGGTGTTTTCTTTTTGTTTGGGGCAGAATTTCGCCTCCAAATATTCGACTGAGAGCGAGAGAGCGCGAATGGCACGACGACGACAACTCTCTCTCGATTGCGCGAGCGAGCTCTCTCTCTTCTTAATCACTCCTTTTCTCTCTCTCTCTCTCTCGGCTGCTGGTCGTTCGTTCGTGTGTCTGGCCAGAAAGCCATGCGCCAGAGCGAGATGTCCATAGTGTGTGCCTCGGCTGTGGGCGGCGGCTGTTGTTGCTGGCTGCTACTGCTGCTGGCTGCTGCTACTATTCCCTCACTGCTCTTCGCGCTCTCGGTGTCGCAACCGCTCCATCTCCCTCTCCAACTGCCTCTCCCGCTCCCGCTCCCTCTCCTGCGTGTAGGTCTGGAGGAACAGCAGGCGCGTTGCCAACTGTTTCGTATATTACCAAACGAGCCCTTCATTTTGCATATTCTGCGGTTCGCTGAAGTTCGCGGAGCTCAAGAACTCGGGCGATGCGGTGCGGGGGCCATTTTGTTGCTGCTGCTGCTGCTGCGTTTGGCTTGCTTGTTGCGCATTCTGTGCCGCCTGCTGCTGCTGCTGCTGTTGTTGTTGCTGCTGCTGCTGCGCTGCCGCCTGTTGCTGCGCGGCGGCCATCAAGTGCTCGGCGCTCGGTGGCGGCGGCGGCGGTGGTGGCCCCACGGCCGTCTGCAGCTGCATCGGCGGTGCCCCCGCCTGACTCAGAAAGGTCGACTCCGGCGTCAGTCCGAACTCGTTCACCATCGGAATGGGTCCGCTGTGGTCCATGGGTCCGCCTATGGCACATCAGAGAGACGAATAAAAGAGTTTTAGTTGAGGATTTATATTGTGGGGAGTAAATACTCGCATAGGTCTATGGGATGTAAAAGTGTTTGATCTGGTATCAGAGCACGATAAGTGGTATATGCTGGTAGTATAATTTCCATAGAGAAGTATTTTGTTCCAGAGCAAAATTTTGAAACCTTTTCTGGGATGAAAAGTTGGTTCTTTAATCTCTTATCCTTTGGCTATTCTTAGAGCAATTCTTTGGGACATATTTCTCATAAAAATTAAGGGATTCTTGTACATATTTCTTCAAAATCTTCCTATTTAGTTAGCTGTTCCTAGAACAGAATTATACATATCATTCATATTATGATTTCAATGCAAAATGATTTTTAAAATATTCTTTGAACCTTGAAGCTAGACGAACTCTCAGCTATATAGTATATTCACTATATTCAAATATTACCCATAATGAACGTAATTTACGCGTGATTCTTATTGATTCCAAGACATACATATAAAATTTGTTTAAAAACTTCCTAATGCAAAGTTCTCCAAACCAAAGCAAACCAGAGATAATTTCAAAGCATTTAAATCCATTTCTTAGTGAAAAAATAAAATATATATGTATATTTATGTACATATTCGAGTAAAGCAATGGAAATCACTCTAAAGTGATCATTAATCAAAGTTTTAGAGTATTGGAAAAATTGCGGGGGATTTTCTTACCTGGCGCATTGAACGGCATTGGTCCGCCGGGATGTCCTGGGAAATAGGGTCCGTCGTGCGGATGGAACGGACCGCCGTAAGCAAACTCGAACTTAGCGTCTGCTGCAAAATAGGGAAATCCGGGTCCATCGTCTAGGCCGCCCGGCGAGAGATTCATGGGAAAGCCGCGCATTTTGCGTGCACCGCCAAAGAACGGGGGACGACCCATGCTGGTGATCTGCTTCATGCGCCTCTCCTTCGAGCGCTTGTTCTGGAACCAGACCTGAAACAGAGCAACAGAGCAAAGAGCAGCAAATTTAGTGAGCGATCTCTTTGGGGTTGTATCGCATATTGTATTTTGCATCTTCCTATACTGTCTACTGGGTATATGGAGTTTATGGAGTTCGATGCGGCTGCGGCTGTGGCTGCGGCTCTGGCTGTGGCGGCGCATGTCTAATTGTTGTTCTTGTGGCTTTTGCCTTTGCATTGATGCTACCGCCACACCGGGCGGCCGTTGCAAAATTAGCCCCCCATTCCCCATTCCAACCAGAAATCAGCAGCAGCAGCAACAGCAACAGCAGAAAAAGAAGACCCAGAAGAAACCAGTAAGCGAATGCAGTACCCATACCCATCCTCATCGCTATTCCCCCATCCCATGAGAATGCCCCATTCGCAGTTTCTGTTTCAGTTTCAGTTTTCATTTTTACGACGTTCTGCATCGGATCGGGGTATCGTATCCGATCTGGGCAATGGGCAATGGGCACTGGGCATCGGATGCGATCCGAGAGTGCGTCTGCGTCCGTCGGGTGCTCCAGAAGCACCGTGCCCAGCATGCAAAGTTATAAAATAAAAACATATTTCAAAAGTTTTTAGTGGCACCTTCTTCTTTGCTTGGGTTCTCTCTCTGGTCTCTGTGGTCTCGGCTAAGTCCTACGCTGTGTCCCTCTTTTTTTTTTTTTTTTTTTGATCTTTTGCTGTTTTTAATATTCATATATTTTGGATGCGCGCTCTCTTTTTTTTAATGATCTCTTCTGCTGCGGTCAACGAAACATTTTGATTTTCTTTATTTTTCGGGTTTTTTTTTTTTGGTGTTTTTCGATTTCTCAAAGTTTTCTCAATGAAATTTTTGTGATTTATGTCTTTGCCGTTCCACACGGCCGCCCCCGGAACGGAACGGAACGGACGCATCGTTCGCTGGGATCACTGGCTCGGCTCCCTCGTTTGCTTTTTCGTGATTTTTGTTGGCAAATAGTTTCCAATGAATTTTGCTTAGATTTTGGGGCATTCAGACTGTTGCTGTTGCTGCTGCTGCGGCTGCTGCAGCTGTTGTTGTAGCCCCGCTTGCTCTCTTCACCGTCTTAGGAGGCAATTTAAGCGTGAATTTTAATGATGAGCGCCGTTCTGACGCTCTGCCGTTGCCGTTCTGCAGTTCATTTGAATTCGGCTGGCCAGAACAGCCAGTGGAGAGGCGAGCAGAGAGCCTTTTTATGAACTGAAGCCAAAGCCAAAGGGATTGCTGGCTAAAAACTGTGGCGGCTCGGCTAGACATGCATATAGGATCCAATCCAATCCACAATCCGCACGCTCGCTGGTGCTGGGGCTGGGGCTGGTGCTGCTGCTGGGGCCCTTCACATTTATAAACTGACACATTTTGTGGCGCAGCGAATTTCGCTAGAAAAGCTCTTCCCTTTTTCCTTTATTTTTTTATTTTTTTTATTTCGGGGGGCCTGAGAACGGGACGCGTCGGCACACAGGATGCACACAAAAGGAAGTAACATGCTGTGTGCCCCATGCCATATGCCCTCCATGCCAAATCCCCAATCCAAATGGATGGATCCAAACGGTTAATGCTTAATACTCTGAGGAGATCTCTGCTCCACGGCTGTCCCTCCGCTCCGTTCCACGCTGCACGTTCCAGGTGAAGCGTGTGACTTTATGACAGGCCCCACCAGCGTATGGGCGATCGGGCATTTGTTTGCTACTTCCTAGAGAGAGAGAGAGAGAGAGAGAGAGAGAGGAGCGGGAGCGGGAGCGGGAGAGGGATCTAATGAGCAGTCTCTCGAGGGGGGCAGACATTGCGCTGCTTTCTGGGCTCCATGAAAGGTAGAGTATCTTATCCCTCGAAAAACAGCCTTTTGTTGTTTTTTTTGTGTCGATTTTCTAAGACCTCTTTGCAGAACTTCGAGTCAAAAGGGGAGTGGGAGTGGGCACCCCGCCCCCACCGACATGCAATTGGTATTTTTGTGCCTGTTGTTTGATTTTTCTCGTAACTTTTTGTTGCACTCCATTTGCCATTTGCCCGTTTGCCCATTTGTTGCTGTTTTTCTTTGTAGATGCAACAAAACAATGGATGCAAAAATGCCGCAGAGTAGCGAGTAAAAAAAAATACCCCCCTCTGAAACGAACAAAAGCGCAAATAAATAGAGTGCCAGAGAGAGAGAGAGAGAGGGGGGAATAACTGTGCACAAAAAAAAAAAAAGGAAAAACACAAATGCAAAACTATTGCAAATGCATATTTTAGTTGCAGTTTTTTGCCTTGTACTCGGAGCTATACCCTTTCTAGAGGAAGATTGCTTTTCCATGGCGCAAAGTAAAGGATTCTCCGATCGATGCAGGCGAACATTTAATTCCTTCAAATTAAGAACACATTTTAAAATGTTTCTTAATCTTTCACTCAGTTTTCGATTTGGAGATTTAGAGCATGAAGGGCAGGGCATCCACTGAGTTGGCTTGCCAGCGTATAGAATATTCTTCTGGTTTTATTATTGTTGTTTCTTTTGTTTGGTTTTTCGCATAGGAAAATGAAAAATTATGTGACCGCAGGGCCACTCTATCGCATATGGAAAAATATTGCCAACAATTTTTGTAGCACAAACGCGACCCGATACTCGGAACTGCCTGCCGCCGTAGGTGCACATGCAGATGCAGGTGGGGGTGGTGGCAGGTTGGCTGGGTGGCAGTGTGGCAGGGACACCTTTTATTTATTACGTTGCAAACGTTACGTGTAATTGAAATGCGGTGGCAGCTTAGTCGTGCCTCCTTTTCAGTATCGTGGACTGTGTGGACTGTGTGTGTGTGTGGGAGGGTGGGTGGCTTTTGGTATGGGGGGGATACGAGTATTTCGCGGTATTTGGTTTTAGTTTGCTGTCGGATTGAGGTCTCTTCTGTTCGCGACATTATCGGCTTTGGTGCCACGTCAAACGTAAACAGCATAAAATGTTTTTTCTTTGTGATTTTCCACCCTATTTTTTACTACAATTTTCACTACAATTTTCGATCACTTTTTGCCCAAATATTTTCCTGCTTCAAGTGTTTCATTTTCATTGCTATCCAACAATTGTTGCACTTCCCCACTTCAGTTTCCAAATCAATTTCGCGAGTTATTCCCAATCAAAAAAATATTAGTACACTGAAACTATATTTGTATTTGTATTTTGCCTTTGATTTTGTTTTTGTTTTTGGTTTGCCCACCAGCTGTTTTTCGTGGTGTATTTTTTGTAGTTTATGTTTCGGTTTGCCTTCAGCCCAGCAGCTCTCCTGCTGCTCCTTTGGCCTGGGGGCTTATTACTATAAGGATATCAGATATTATGCCAGATATATGAAAATCGCATCATTTATTGTACGGTTATCATCATAACGTCTTCCTCTGGTGATTCTCTGGTGATTCCCTGGTTCTCTCTTTCTGGGCTTTAAATTGTCTGGCAATTTTGTAAAATGTGAGGCTAATATTTTATTTCCGCACTTGAGCCGAATTTTATTATTTTTCTTTCCAATTTTGAGCTTTCAACGGCAGCAAGCAGAGAGAGAGAGAGAGAGCCACAGAGAGGGGCAGCCAGGCAGGCGGGCGGGCAGGAAGGCAACTAAGTTGAACACGCGGCGGACCAGCCCAGCCCGTCCCGGCCCGGCCCGGCCAGAACATCCGAACATCTGAACATTTGAACATTTAGTTAAATTATAGGTTAGAGCTCTGACATAAAAGGGCAAACAACGTAGCATAATGGGGCATGGGGCATGGTAGCAATCAGAGGGCTCCCCATCTACCGTTCTGCCGTTCTTTCGACAAAATGATTATTGCGCGAACCTTGGTGGGGGAAGGAGAAACACGGAGGAGCCACCGGGAGCCCCAAGGGGTTACCCAATCCCGACTCTCGACTCTAAAGGCCTCTGGGGTCTCTCCATCTCCACTCCATCTCCACTCCATCCATCCATCCATTGTGTTGAAAATTATAGCAAATTATGTTAAACGGCAGCGCGTTTGGCCTCCTACTTGCCCCTCCCTCATTGCCCACCTTCGACTCCTCCTGACATCAGTGGGCGGTTGCGGGGGCGGTGGCGGTGGCGGTGGCTGTGGCGGTGACGGCTGCTCATTTTGGTTGCCCCAAAGTGGTCGTTCCTCCAAAGGGGCACCCCAAATGTGTGTCACGTTCTGCTTTACCCCCATTGATTGATATGATTTGATGTGGTTCGATTTCAGTGGTGGGATTTGATGCGAGATTTGGTATATGCGATTTGAACTATTCGTTTCATTCGATCGAATACTTACTACTCGTACGCCTATTTGTGTGTGTGTGTGTGTGTTTTATGTGTGCCCCATTGTTGTGGCACGATTGCTTTGGCTACCATTTGTTAAATTAGTTTGCTATGATGCGGCAAGATTTGTTTGTTAGTTTGTTGGTTTCGAATTGTTGCCTTTTCATGTTGCCTTTATTGTTTGTTGCTACTCGCCGCTTAATTGCCAAAAACAAAGAGGGAAAGAGAGAAAAAAACACAGCAACAAAAGTTTACTTCATTTTTTGGTCTTTAGAGACACAGCACCCCACCCCACCACACCACACCGCACCCCACACCACCATTGTTGCCCCCTCCCCCAAAACGAGTTGTGTGTTGCGGCAATAACAATTTTTAAAAGGCTAATCAACGACGGCATTCATACAGAAATCCCCTACACCCCCTCCCCTCCCCAGGCCAACCGAAACAATCACCCAAAAATATTTGGTAGAGAATTTCCAAGAAACGATTAAAACCTTTTGGTCTGAAAAAAAGAGCTTTGCACTTGGGTATCAATGGGGTTTATCAATGGGCTAAAAAGTGCATAGAATAACGAATAGATACGGCAAAAAATAGCAAAAATACAGAGAAATATCAATAAACATTGGCACCAGCACAGAACCCAAAAAATAATGCTAAAAACCCCAAATACTACTGACTATAAAGAAATAACTGCCGAAGGGAAAACCTTGGGAAGCCGCAAAAAATACTTTTAAAAACAAAGAAAATGTTCGA